CAAAAAAACATTCGGCCAGCCAAAAAAATAGCAAGCTAGCCAACTTCATTTTTTTTTTAAATTTATTTTTAACAATCCGAAGTGCACATTTTGTTTTAGTATTTGTTTTAATTCTTTTAATATAGAAATATATTTTTAATTTATTTTATTTAAAAATAATTTAACAATCTCATCATTAACCATCTCCCAAACTATTATAAAAAACAAACACACTTTTACTTAGTCCCCTTACTAACAATTTCCACATTAATAATCTCTTCACTAACCATCCCCTCACCAACAATCTCCTCCAACGTAATCTGCCAAACAAACGTGGTCTAACAACATTATCAATTGGACCAAATTGACACAATCTAAAATCAATGGTCAAAATTGAATCAATTGAAAATATAGAAATCAAAATAATATAAGAGGTAAGATGTAAGGACTAATGGTGTATTTTCCAGTAATTTTTTTAAAGCAATTTGCCACGGATTTTTTTGAAAGGAAATAAAATCAAAAAACAACAAATGAAAACATAACGAAACAGCTCTGGTTGTTCAGTTTGGTTTTCGAAGACTGTTTTTGAGCTTTTTATTTTTTGCTTATTGATTTTTTTTAATATTTAGTCTCTCTCTCTTTTTAATTTTTTTTTTTAATGCACGTAATCTAATTGTACTTAATAAGTAAAATATCTATAACGAAATTTGTAAAGAAAAAAGAAAAGAAAAAAAAATGTACCTTGTTTTTTTTAGTAATCTTTTCTTTTTTATATTTTTTTACATATATTAAAAAAAATGACTAAACTATGAAAAAAAAAGTTCACTAGAGATAAAACAAAAAAAACATAAAAAACAAAAGATAACAATTAAAAAAAAGAACTAAATTAAACGTTCAGGTGTTGTTAGATAATGTTTGTAATTTATTATTTTTAGTTTATAGAAAAAATTAAACATGTTTCTATTTATTTTTTGTAAAAACAAAAACAAAAACAAAAACATTATTTTTAAAACTTTTTAAAAAAATATATGAGAGCGTAGCCTATGAGAGGTGTTTGATGACAGATAGAGATGATGGCTTGAGGTGTTTGTCGATCACCGGAAGTTGTTGCCACTAGTGGCCAAAGGTGGTTGCCTGCCACTTGTTGAAGGTGGTTGAAAGTGGTTTTTGACAAGAGAGCTGGCCATAAGTTGTTTCCTTCAAGAGGCAGTGACCCAATGTGGTTATCACTAGTGGGATGCGATTGGCGGTGGCAAGAAGTGGTGGCTAAAAATGTTTCCTGACAAGAGATGGTAGCCAAAGGTAGTTAACACTGGTGGGAGGTGGTTGGTTGATGGTAGTTAATGGGTGGTGATTCAAAAGGGGTGAGATAAAGGGGAAGAAATAAATAAAACATTTTTTAAAAAAAAAAAGGTAAAACCAACCTTTTTGTGGTTATAAAAATTTAAATTTTTATAATTTTTTGAAAAAACAAACAACTAAATGAGTTTTTATTCACAATTTCATGAATTTTATAAATTTAAATATAAGAAAACTATAAGAATAAACGTTAACAAACACGCCTTTAATACACACCCTTAATATTTCATATAGGGACTGGCAGTCATTGGAATGAGAGGACTACAACTTCTAATGTATTTCAAAAATATAAAAATAATAAATAAATAAGGAAGAGGGGGAAACATAAATTTTATATAATTTTTTTTACCAAAATGGTATGACAATAATTTTTTTAAAATAATAAGTTTTTAATTTGAAATAAATGGATGCAAAATTCTCACATTTTATATAATTTTTGTACTTGTACATTATTATAATTCCTAATAAAATATATATATCATTATTATTGTTTGGCAACACTAATAAACCAATTATTACAATCTTATTAAAGCAATAGGGTTAAATAAAAATTATAAAGTGGAAAAACAGTAATCACGTCGCCTGAGAGATTCGAACTCTCGCGGGGAAACCCCATGTACTTAGCAGGCACACGCCTTAACCACTCGGCCAAAGCGACTTGATGTTGTAATTGGTTCCTAAATATTATATTTTACTAATCTTTTACTCTATATTTCCTTTTTCACAATTTTATGATATCATGAAATTAAAATTAAAATTAAAATTAAAATTTTCATTTCCAATGTGACTGTCATTTATAATAAGACTGGGAGAGGAATTGTTAAGCAACTTGTGGCCTCTCACTTTTTTCTTTTTTGAATTTTAAAAAAAAAAAAGAAAAGAAAAGAGAGAGCTACTAATATTTCAATGAAGAGGTTTAATTGTTTTCAGCAAAAGCTAAAAATTGATGTTGAACATATTGGAATTCAATGAAAGGAGAATGCATTTGGACTATAACACCATAGGCAAATGGATATGAACACTAGGAATTAAGTGAGTTTTTTCATACAAACAATCATTTTTCTATTGGGCCTCACCTTATCAATCCTATTGTTAGAAAACCTAAACAAAGCCCACAAATCACTTGATTTGGTTATTATTTTTCATAAGATTTTTTTATTTTTTTATTTTTACTTTTTGGTATAGAGTAGGGTGTCAAACTCACTGACTTGTTAGAGCATCCACAATGGATACACTAACCTGTGTGTTAGTGTCAGGTGCTAAGTTTCAGCTAATTGAGGGTATTGTTTGGGGCTGCAATAGAATTGTTAGCGTGTGTGTTAGTGGTGTGTGTTAATTTGTTTATTGTCTGCAGCCAGTGTTTTAGCTAGCGGAGGAGTGCGTTTGTTTGTCTTACTGGTTGACCGGCCGGATGTCCGGTCAATGACAATTTTTTTTTTTTTTTTTTTTTTTTTTGGACTTGAAATTTAATTTTGGGCTTCAAATTTTTTATTAAACTAAATTGTTTATTTATTTTATTTATTATATACACACACACACATATATATATATATATATATAACACACACACCTTAACACATCCATTGCACCACCACTCACTCTCTAAAATTAACAAACTCTTAACATATCTTAACAAATATTTTTAGGTCCCACTTTTATTACTTTTTATCATATAACACACTTTAATATACTTTTTTAGCCATTTCATTGTGAATGCCCTTAGTGAGAAACTCAAGTTATAGCAGACCCTACTGGTTGATAAGAGATTAGATTCCACCATCAAATAAATAACTATATTACACAATAATTCAAAATTTTCATTTGGGTGTAGATTCTCTCTAGTTACGTGGAGGGTTTTGTACACTCACAAAATAATAATAATAATAATAATAATAATAATAATAATAATAATAATAATAATTTTTTTTCTTTTTGGGTTGAAAGGATTGTGACTCAACTCACATATTTTGAATTGTACCATCCAATTAAGTTAATTGACGAGAGAACTTACACACTTTCGATATAATTATATAGAAAAATTAAGATAAGATAAAACATAACATTCTAAGGATATATAGAAAGAAAATGATTTGTAAACAAAATATAATTTTTTTTATAAAAATGATATAATAATAACATTTTGAAAATTTTAAGTCATTTTGATGAGTTTTTTTTGTTTGTTTGAATTGAATGAATGTAGATATACTATTTATTACGTATAAATTTTTATATAATTTTTCTTTTTACATATCATTTTTTTGAAAAAAAATCATTATTTCATTTTGTTGTGTATCATTACACAACAATCCATTATTTTTCATTTACACAACAATCTACAACTACAAAAATGAAATAATGAGCAAAACAAAACAAAAGGCAGAGAGTATAATTATTCCAAAGACAGCACAGTTTTTAATATTTTATTTTTTTTATTTTAAAATTTTATCAAACACTACGTTAGTAAGATGGAAAATTCAAAATATCCATTTGAAGGGAAAAAAATAATAGAAATTTTATTAAAATAAACGACTCCGCTATGTAGCTCGAAAACGAGCCCCCCGAATTGCCCGAAATTGGAAAAGGTGATTTTTGAATGTTTGGCCCAGTTGCAACATTGGTCAATTGATACCACGCGCGATAAATAGAAGAAAAGAGAGGAGAGGAGAGAGAGAGGAACTAATCGAAGAAGAATAGGTGAGAGCGACGACCGTTGAGATCAACCGGTGCTGACGCTATCAACCTGGGTGACCATCGACGACCAGCGAAAAACTCTGCCCACCGTCAGTGCTATTCGTCGACTAGCGAAATACCACTTCGACGTCAATCTGGATTACTCATTGTACTCACCGTTCGTCCGTCAATCTCTGAATCTCGCCGTCCGTCCTGAATCTGCTGGTGCCTTTTTTTGGTTTTTTTCTTCTTATAAATTTTTATTTTTTTGTTAAGCTTGAATGTGGGGATTAGAAGAATGGTTCTCTATGTTTGGATCTATGTGGGTAGATGATTTCAATTAAAAAAATCTGTTTTGGGTCTATGTTCTTGTTGATTTTCTATGTTTTGATAGGGGATTAGAAGACCATATTAAGGAATGCAGACCATATTTGTTGTATAGCTTGGCTCACTTATCTTGAATGGAATTTCCAAATTTTTCATCAGTTAGTTGCATGTTTTCTAGACTTCTATGCACAACACTTTGCAATAATCAAAGTAAAATTGCTATGTGTGTGATGTATAGCTATATAATTCTTCTGTTATGTGTGATGTATATGTGTGTTTTTGGATGTGTCCATAGCTAAATCTGTGTGTATACAAACTGTGATTTGAATCTGTCTATAACTGAATCTGTTTTGGCATGTGTGATGTATACAAAGTTGCAGTTGCCTTGTTGTTCTATAGTTGAATATGTGATGTGTCTAAATCTGTAGTGGTTATATTTGTGATGTACTCACTGAATTTGTGATGTCTCTAAGTGGTGTTTCAAATCCACTTTAGCCTTATTTATGTGAATTTGTGAATCTGTGATGTCTGAATCTGAATCTAAATGGTGTTTAACATCACCGAATCTGAATCTGTGAATCTGTGATGTCTCTAACCTTATTTATGATTTGTTGTGCATTTCATTCTGCTAATTTTATACAAATTATAGTAGAGTGTTTCACACAATGGACATTGATTCAAACAATCCTGCATTGAGTGGGGGTGAGGAAGTTGAGGAACCAGAGAACAATCCTTCATTAAATGAGAGTGGTGAAATTGAAGAACCTAAAAAGGGGATGTGTTTTACCTCAAAGCAAGAAGTGCACGAGTTTTATGTAAAATATGCTAAAAACCTTGGATTTGCTATAGCTTACAGAACACAGAATGTTGGCGCTGATGGAAAGGTGAAATACTTTGGAATTGAATGTACTCGGCGCAGAAGAGGACAAAAAGATTAGAAGTAAACCCCTTGAAACCATCTTTGTCATCAAAAATTGATTGTAAAGCAAAGGTAAGAGCGGCTTTACAACAGGATGGAAAATATAAGTTAACTACAGTTGTGTTTGAGCATACGCATGATTTGATTCCTAGTGACTCACGGCATTTTCCAACGAATAAGAGGATTCGTACTCCTACGAAGAGAAGATTAGAAATAAACGATGAAGCAAGAATAGGGGTGTCTATGAATTTTCATTCTATAGTTGTTGAAGCGGGGGGATATGAGGCATTAACATTTGATGAACGAGATGCAAGGAACCACATTGAAAATGCTAAAAGATTGAGACTTGGGATAGGAGACGCCGAATCAGTTGCATTTTATTTTCATAGGATGCAACAAGAAAATTCAAACTTCTATTCTGCAATTGACTTTGATGTAGATGGTCGCATACAAAACTTGTTTTGGGCGGATGCAAGGAGTAAGTCGGCTTATAAAGCATTTGGAGATGTTGTCTCATTTGACACCATCTATCTCACAAACAAGTATGATATTCCGTTTGCTCCATTTGTAGGAGTTAATCACCATGAACAGCCAATCTTGTTTGGTTGTGAGCTATTATGTAATGAGAACATGGAGACATTCGTTTGACTATTCAAAGAATGGTTAAATTGCATATCAGCCACTCCTCCAAAAGCTATTATAACTGACCAGTGCAGAGCCATGCAAAATGCCATATAAATTGTCTTCCCACAAGCTCGATATCGTTGGTGTTTATGGCATATAATGAAGCAAATTCCCGAGAAATTGACAGGATATTCCCAATATGAAGCCATCAAATTACAAAATGCAGTGTATGATTCTTTCACAAAAGATGAATTTGATGAGGAATGGCAAACGATGATTGAAAAGTTTAGCCTCCATGACAACGAGTGGTTGGGGGTATTATATGGTGAGCGACATAGGTGGATTCCTGCCTATGTGAAAGATATGTTTTGGGCTGGCATGTCAACTACACAACGAAGTGAGAGCATGAATGCATTTTTCAATGGCTATGTAAACTCAAAGACTACTTTAAAGCAATTTGTTGAACAGTACGACAATGCATTGAGAAGTAAGGTGGAGAAGGAGACCAAAGCAGACTTCAAATCTCGAAACAAATTGTATGATTGCTTAACGGTGTATGAGTTTGAGAAGCAATTTCGTGCAGCCTACACAAATGTGAAATTTAAAGAAGTTTAAGTAGAATTGAAGCGACTATTGTATTGTCATGCAACTCTTGTGAAGGAGGAGGGATCCATTTGCACTTATCATGTCAAGGAGGCTGTGTTTGTGGGTGAGAAAATGAAAAAAGTTGAATTTCTTGTTTACTTTAATTCAACTGAATTTGAAATGCAATGTATCGGTGGTTTGAGTTAGGGGGATCATGTGTGCCCATTCCCTTAGTGTTCTCATTGAGAGATGCATATATGAGGTTCCAGATAAGTACATTATGCCGAGATGGAGAAAAGATTTAGAAGGAGGGTACACATGTATTCTAATGACATACACGAAATCCGGGGTTGCCCTCAATGCAAAGGTACATGATAACTACTACAAGACATTGGATGAAATTATAGAAATTGCTTCCAACGATGATGGTAAACACAAAGCCATTTAACTTGGGTTGAGAGAAATCAAGGAGAGAGTCAGAAAAGATGAATCTGGTTGTGCGAGTAATGTGTCACCTTCTAGTAGTACCATCTCACCTTCTAGTAGTAATGTGCCACCTTCTAGTAGCACTCGCAAGGTGCTTAGTCCTTTGGTTGCTCACCGAAGAGGCCGTCCATGTACGAAACGGAAGGTGAGGAAGGTAGACGAAATAGTGAATCGGTTGAAGGGAAAGAATAAAAAGGCACCAAAAGTCCAGGTATATTTTTTATTTTCTGCTTGTATGTAAATTTCAGAATTTATTTTTGTCAAACCTTTTCACCAATGTATGTTACTATAAGGTCGTAAGATGGGTCAAAGTGAACCTCGTAAGTTGAATTTCGGTTGTATGGACGGCATGGAAGACAATACGTACGATCGGGTATGTGTTTCATGGTACACTACTATTTTTTGTATGGTATTTATTTCAGTGTTTGAACTTATTAATGATATTTTTTTATTATGTATCATAAGGTGCCGCAAGCTCAATCCTACTATTTTCCTTGTATGGATGGGACACAAGAGAGTATGTATGTACCGGTATGTGTTGATAATATCACACCTCAATAGTTTTGCTTCTTCTGATTTGCAAATATGTTTGTGAGAACAATTTTTAATATTAGTTACTTCGGCATTGAATAGGCAAAAGATAGCGCATTGCAAATGGTGGACAAAATTGGAAGCGCATCTTTGAGTGAATCAGGAATGACGAATATAGATGGTTCAACTTTTGTGGACTTGAATGTAGATGTGGATCCAAACGCTCCATTTTTTTTTTAGTTTTGTACTATGGTATTTATCACTTTGGTTTGTAAACTTGGGATAGTTACTTTTGTAGACTTGAATATAGATGTGGATCCCATCGCCCTAATTTTTTTTTAGTTTCGTTCTATGGTATTTATGACTTTCGTTTGTAAACTTGGGATAGTTTGATTTGTAAACATTGGTTTCCTTATCATTGGATTGAAGAGAATAAAAGCATTTATTGGACATGTTTTTCTTGCCAACTGGTTCTGTTTTGGTTCTGTCATTTAATAGGTTCTGTTCAGGTTTTGTTTTTCTTGCCAACAGGTTCTGTCATTTAGCATGTGGGTTTGAACAGGTTTTGTTTCTTGCCAACAGGTTCTGTTTTGGTAACAGGTTTATTCTGTTTCTTGCCAAGCTCATGTTTTGAAAACATGACCTGTTCTCATGTTTTGAACCTGTTACAATGCATATATTGGTAATAGGTTCTGTTTTGGATACATTAGAAATGATTCTGAACAGGTTTTGATTCTGAACAAGTTTTGAACAGCTTATGTTTTGAACAGATTTTGTTTTGATGAATTTCTGCTGTGAACAGGTTCTGTTTTGATTACTCAGGGAATCTGTCAAGTTATGTTTGGAACAAGTTATATTTTGAATAGGTTCTGTAAATGATGAATCAATATACGCATTGTGTTTTGTTGATGCAGGTTACTAGAAGTTTTGATACAAGGCAACGATAGAACTCAACTTATTGGGGTAATTGGTAGTTTACTCTAATTTTTAGGCTTTCATTGCCTCAAGTTTACTTATCATCTCATGGCTAGAATATGTTGTAGCTATTGGCCAGAATCTTTGTTTGTAATCACATGATTGACACTAGAGATTTATTTTTTAATTTTTAATATTTAATTTGGATATGGATTGGGGAAAAGAGGAAGTGGCCATGTGTTTGTACATGTCTGTGTTCAGATTGTTTCTCTTTTTGATCCTTAGGTTGCTGGTCACTAGACTATGAACCATGTCAGGTGGAATTTTGATGCATTGGTTGATTGTTCAAGTTACATAGATGATATGATAAGATATATTGGGCAAGAATTCTTTAGAAGTTTTGTTACGGTTAAAAGTAAATACAGTTTAGAAGGAATTATTAATGTGGCTTGGTTTGTCGCTACTCCAAGGAATATTTGATTGAAAATGATAATGACTTGGGAATAATGAAGCAAATGTAGAAGAAGAAATGTTTGAACCACAATATTATATAAGGAAATGCCAACAAAACTTATGCAATAGAAAAAATGTTTGAACGTGAACAACAGATAACCTGTTTGGAAGGTAAAAGTCCATAACCTGGAAATGATATAGGCACAATTTGGGAGCCAAAAGTCCACAACCTGGAGGTAACAACTAGAGGTAACAACAGTTGTGATCTAGTAATGAAATAACATATTTCAAAAGAAAATGAGCTAAGAAGATCATATTATACCCACATTCACATCAATAACATATTGCTTTCCACCTATAAAATACTCATTAAAAAAATATTCAAAAACTATTCATTACAAAGATCATATTACAAAAACATCATATTACAAAAATCATATTACACCTACAAGATCATATTACAAAAATATTCATTACAACATAGCCCCACAAGCCATGCGATTACCCCAAAACTAACAAAACTAACAAAGTCAGTAATTTACTTCATCAAGTACAAAATCATATAAAACACAATGACATAAATCATCGCCTTCATTTTGTTCTCCATCATTTGAAGCCTTCTATGAATTTGATTTTCCATCTCAGAAACTATTGCCCTTAGCTCATATGATTCTTCTGTTGTTAATGCTTGACAAGGTCCGGTATTAGGACGGATTGTGAAGGTAATGTCCTTATCATCATCATCTGCAAACTTGAAGTAATTACAGTGTGCTCTATTGTTATTACTCTACAATTCATAAAAATCAGTTAGTCATAGCAAGCAAACCAATTTCCAAATAGTAAAGGATTAATTACATATTGACATAGAATAAAGCTTGGTACTTACATATTTTGATGGGCACACAAAGAACAAACGCCATTGATTTTCATTCTCATTAGTTCATACGATATACATGGCAGCTGTTCTCCCACAATCACACATTCTTGGTTTTAATCTAATGTTGCTATTGTTAGTAGAAGAAGAAGCCATTTCTTTATCTGCATAACCAATACGTAAGCCATTTCAATTTCCTAAGATGAAAAAAAGTTGGTCTTCAGTGTAAACATTTTCTGTATAACCAATACATAACCAATACCTAACCAATACCTAAGCCTTAAATAAAAAAAAAATATCACCTAAGATGATAAACATTTTCTATTTTACAACAGTTCATAAATATAATCTTTGCACGTTGTTATCAATCATTTGTGATGCTAGAACATTTCTTTAGACAAATCATGCAATTTCATTTTCTTCCTTGGACTTTCATATATATCCTACAAATTTGACAAACTTTACAATCATATGCAGAAGAATTTTTTTAAAAATAAGAATTTTTTTTTTATTTATACAAATTTTTTTCTTTATTTATATAAATTTTTAGTGTAGTTATTTAAAAATAACAATTTCGTTTTTTTTTTTTTGAATGGAGTCCCATATGTGTAGTTATTTATATTTATTGAGACAATATATAATCAAAGAGAATATGAAAGGGGTTATTTTTTGCTTGTTTAATCTAAAATTACCAAAATAAAGATTAGTTGTTGCTTAATTCATTTCAAATTTACTAAAATAAAGTTTGATTATTCTTTGAGACTCTTGCTTCATGATATGCGCGCACAAGGTGCGAATGAATTCTTTGAGACTCTTGCCAACTTTCAACTTAAAGTTGAAAGTACAATAAACACTAACTTTCAACTCTTAAATCTAAATAACAGTCCTAAATTTATATAAGCCCTAAACAAAATTTCCAACAATGTAGATTGAAGTTAAAAAATAAAACATTTCCATTTCCTATATTCATAGAATTCAGATTCATATCATCCAACTATAAAATCCTATATTCATAGAACAAAACAAATGTAATGAAACAGATACGGAACAAATAAAAGCAAAAAAATCCTATATTCATAGAATCCTAAATTTACAAGCCCCAAATCAAATGGAAATAACAATCCTAAATTCTAAATTCAATCCTAAATTCATAATCCAAAACAAAACAAAAAAAAAATCC